GTTCATCCCTCCCTCCCTTCCTTCATCCCTCCCTCCATCCCTCCCTCCATCCCTCCCTTCATCCCTCCCTCCATCCATCCCTCCCTCCTTCCCTCCCTCCCTCCCTTCATCCCTCCTTTCATCCCTCCCTCCCTCCCTTCCTTCATCCCTCCCTCCTTCCCTCCCTCCCTCCCTCCCTTCATCCCTCCCTCCATCCCTCCCTCCCTCCCTCCCTTCATCCCTCCTTTCATCCCTCCCTCCCTCCCTTCCTTCATCCCTCCCTCCTTCCCTCCCTCCATCCCTCCCTTCATCCCTCCCTCCATCCCTCCCTCCATCCCTCCCTTCATCCCTCCCTCCATCCCTCCCTCCATCCCTCCCTCCATCCCTCCCTCCATCCCTCCCTTCATCCCTCCTTTCATCCCTCCCTCTCTCCTTCCCTCCCTCCCTCCCTCCCTTCATCCCTCCTTTCATCCCTCCCTCCCTCCCTTCATCCCTCCCTCCCTTCATCCCTCCATCCCTCCATCCCTCCCTTCCTCCCTCCCTCCCTCCCTTCCTCCCTCCCTCCATCCCCCGCCCCATCCCACGCCTCCTCTCCAAAGCAAGCCCCAAATCACTGCAGAACCCCCCCCACCTCCCACCCTCACCGCTCACACCCGTGCCAGCCCCCTCCAGCCTCCCCCCCCGCTCCCGGAGGGGGGTGCACGCCTGTGTGTGTGTGTTGGGGGGGGGGGGGGGGAACATCTTTTACTCCTTAAAGAGCTCAGCGAGTTCCAGGCCCATGAGGTCACTTGGACAAGGAAATGACTCCCGAGCCCATCCATCACCGCTGCGGGCGCACGGATCAAAGGCCCCCGCAGCGCTCCAGCTCCCCTTTGCCAGCCGAGGCTCTGCGCGGTCCCCGTCCCGTCCCCCCCCTCCTTTTCCCATCCCTTTCCCCATCCCCGAGCCCGCATTCCCTGCGGTTGCCGCGGCAACCACACGCTGCGGCGGATGCTCCGCATTCCTCTTCGCACCACACATGTTTCCACTCCGCGGCTGCAGTAACTGGAAAAACCTGGGAGAGGCGAAGCCGCTTCCCCAGCCTCCAGCCCGGCTCCTTTCATGGGCGTTCTCCTCCTTTGCTGTTGTCAGGCGGGAGCAAACCAGCCCCGTTGGGTCCTTGCGAACACAGCAGGGGAGGTTGCAACAGAGAAAGCCCAAATTAACACACGCACACACACACACACACACACCCTGCATCGGGTTTGGTGCCCAGGGTTGCTCCGGTTCTTGCCCGTCACGGGGATGGGGTGGACAGCACCCGGCTCGCACATGGAGCGGGGTAGCCCGGCTCTGCAGGTCTGCAGCTCTGTTGTACCAGGGTTCAACCCCTTCCCAAGCCCCAAGGACGGAGCCTCCTGTCCCCTTCCTAAACCTGGGCTGGAGGAGCATCAGCTGCATTGCAAGCTCTTCTCCCATGGGCATCACCCCAAAGACCCCATCTAACCCCTAACACCTGAAGAGCATCTTCAGGCTCAGAGGCAGATCCAGGTTGGGGCTGACCAAGATGTGCTTTCAGCCCACCAAAAGGATGCGGTTTTAAGGGGTTGCCTTGGCCTCTTTCCTTTAGAAACCTCATCTCCCACCTCAGCCCCATGGAACAGCTTCCATCTGAGGAGCCCCTGGGATGCTACGGTGAGCCTCAGCCCTGCTCATCCAGTTCTCCTTGCTGTGTCCCCACGTTTGGTGATGTCCTCGCCTTCTTTCCACCATTCCCTTCTTCCCATCGGCCCCACAGGAACCCTGCAAAGCATCTTCAGGCTCAGATCAGACCCGAGCGATGGGGACGCATCCTACCTAACCCCCAAATCACTGCTCAGGAAAGACGGATGCAAGGGTGGAGGAAGATGGGGATGGAGGCGGGCAGAAGGGCTGGGACACGGTGGGAATTCAGATCTTCCCTCTGGTTGCTCCTCAGGGAATCAAGGTTGCTTTTTTGCTTGCAATGTGCATGTTTAAGGTCTGAATCCTTCGCTCTGTCAAGACGAGGGCTATAAACCCCCAACCAGCTGCAAAAGCCACGTTATTGAAGCCACTTTGGGAACTCGTGACCTTTCCATGAAATCTCCGCATTTTATATTCTTCTCAAAAAAAAAAACCAAAAAAAAAACCAAATCCACTGAAAGAAACGGGAACATTTAAAGGAAAAAAAATATTTTTGCCATAAACCAGCCAAATCGAGGTGAAGAAAAAAAAAAAGCAGCCTTTTGGAGTGTTCAGCTGATCCTTCCTGCACATCAAAGCTCATTGTGTTTCTCCCTTTGCTCAAGGGTATCAGCACCAAGCCCCAGCTTCACTTCCTTGGGCCAAAGCCGCTCTCCAGTGCAATTCAATTGAGCTATTTCTAGAGAAAAAAAAATAAAAGGGGAAAAAAAAAAAAAGGAAAATGAGACCAAAAAAAAAGGGGTGAAAACTAAAGGAAAACAAGAAAAAAAGATTAATAAGAAAAGAAAGCCCAAGCGCGAGCCCTGGGCCTCAGCTGGTGTTCACTGGCAGCTCTCCAGCCCTTGGCAGCGCTGAGCGGGATCAGAGGGCCCTGGATGCAGCCAAAATCCTGCTCTCCCGGGGGGATTTTTCCCCCTGCCTTTGTTTCCTCCCGCTTTCCCAGCGCCTGGGATCCATTGTCTGCCCGCAGCAGCAACGTCTGATGCTCGGCAGCATCCTGAGGAATGGGTTGAGCCGATGCTCCGAAGTCACCGGGCTCCATCCCAATGGCTCCGGGTATCGACCTGTTGCTGGGCATCTGCTCTCAAACCATGGGGTCAGGGAATGGTTTGGGTTGGAAGGGGCCTTAAAGCTCATCCAGCTCCAACCCTGTGCCACTGGAGCAGCTTGCTCCAAGCCCCTTCCAGCCTGGCCTTGAGCGCTGCCAGCATCGCTGGGAAAGGGGCTGAAGTGTTGCCCTTTCACTTGGTCCCTTCCCAGCGTGAAGGATGCTCAAGAGAAGCCCATGGAGGGATGTGAAAACGTCTTCCTTGAAACACAGAGAAGCACCTTCGGGATCCGTGCATCCTAGTGGAGCAGCAACACCCGGAGGGGTGCAGTTAGGGAGGCAAAGGGGTTTGCTGTGAGCCCTGCTGGACCACGGGGTGTGTAGCAAGGTTAATGTGCATGGCAGGTCTACGGAGCATGGTTTTAAGGAGCACCTTGTAGCTGAGCTCGATTTGGGGCTTTTCCTACTGGAAAAACAACAGTTGGCCAAGCCCCTGGTTCTTATCCAGCCCCAGTGCTAAAGGGAGAGGACATCCTCCTCCTCCTCCTCCTTGCAGGCTATAGGAAAGGCTTTTGAGCAGAGAGCTGCCTGCAGTACAGCATCGGTTATTCAGGATGAAGGTAACACAAGAGGAGGATGCTCATTCACCGCGGGCAGCGAGACAATAGGGAGAGGTCGTTGCCTTTCCAAGGACTCTCTCCTGCAGCCTCTGGTCACGCTCAGCCTGAGCTGCTGCATCCACTTCATTCCTGCCTGGGGGTGGGCACAGGATCCCACTGCGGCTCGGTGCAGGCTCCTCGGTGGAGGAGAACGCTGTTGTATGTTACACGGCCCGATCAGTGCAGGATATTCGATGTAATGGCCATAAAAAGGAGCTAAATCCCCTCTATTTCTATAGGCAGGAGGTGTCAACGCAACAGCTGCTGGGTTTGGGGTGATTTGAATGATTTTGATGAATCCCTGCCACTGTTTGAAACCATCTTGTTCCCATAACGTCCCTTTGGGCTCTCATGAGACAGAGCAAGGGCGATGGAGCCCAATATCCCCTTGGAGCATCTTGCCAGGACTTCAATGTCCTCCCAAAGAGACTCAGGGTGAGAGTTTCTGATGAGCCTGGTGAGCGGAGACAGCTTGGATTAGGTCAAGGAGAAGAAACACCTTGGAGAGGGAGATGGGAAGGTTCTAGGGGTTCCCAAAGGCATAGGAGCATTTTGGGCATGGGAGGATGATGGGCACCAATGGGCTCCAGTTCTGTGCGCTGATTCTACTGGTAGAATTCTATTGTAGACTGCTAGAAACGGAGGCAGAGGAAGAGGGATGGATGGATGGATGGATGGATGGATGGATGGATGGATGGATGGATGATGGATGGATGATGGATGGATGGATGGATGGATGGATGGATGGATGGATGATGGATGGATGATGGATGGATGGATGGATGGATGGATGGATGGATGATGGATGGATGATGGATGGATGGATGGATGGATGGATGGATGGATGATGGATGAATGGATGGATGGATGGATGGATGGATGGATGGATGGATGGATGGATGATGGGTGAATGGATGGATGAATGGGTGGGTGGATGGGCAGATGGATGGATGGATGATGGATGAAAGGACGGATGAATGGATGCAAACTCAAGTTCATTTTGAATGCTACCATTTCTCAAGAGCAGAATGGATTCCTGTCACTGTTGCTTCTTCCTTTGGATTCATAGAAAATCCATACCCATGGCTTCCCATCTCCACTTGGACCTCTCATAGAGAAAAGTCTTCTATTGACAAGCGAACAATCTCTGGCTGGCTTTTGCAGGGTCAACTGGGCTTAGAAATGGAAAGCCTGGACCTCAAAGACATCTCCCTTGATGTCCGTGACTGGTGCTCGCATCGGCAGAGGCGATGTCCCCTGCCATCCGGGCAGCAGGCAGGAGCATCTGTGCCGCAGGGCCTGGGGGTGTCGGTGGAGGAGGGAAGGAGGAAATCTGGAACCCATAAGCTCCACTGCTGTTTGCATTACCTTGCACGGCTGCATTGGTCTGTGCCTGGTCCGCCCACTGTCCTCCTCACCCTATCAGCAAGAGCCGTTCCCCAAAGTTATCCGAACGCCTTCCTCCCCGTAGCCCAAAGGAAAAACCAACCGAGCTCCTTGGAGGGCTCCGCAAGGCTTGGATGCTCCAAGCTGCACCTCTTGACTTCTCCAGGCCACCATTCCCATGTCCTGCACCCATCGCATCCCCTGAAGAGCCCGGAGCCGAGAGCATGAAGGAGGAGAACTTGTGCCCGGATTCACCCGAGGGCAGCGTGGACGAGGAGGAAGAGGAAGGCGAGCGCCAGCCTAAGAAATGCCCCCGCAAGCGGTGCCAGGGGGGCGAGGAGCGGGGGGTCCCCTCGCCGCAGGGCAAGCGGAGCAAGCGCAGCCCCGCGCCGCAGCCCGTGGAGGACGCGCACACGCAGCGCGTCATCGCCAACGTGCGCGAGCGCCAGCGCACCCAGTCCCTCAACGACGCCTTCGCCGAGCTGCGCAAGATCATCCCCACGCTGCCCTCCGACAAGCTCAGCAAGATCCAGACCCTCAAGCTGGCCGCCCGCTACATCGACTTCTTGTACCAGGTCCTGCAGAGCGATGAGCTGGACCACAAGGTCGCCAGCTGCAACTACCTGGCCCACGAGAGGCTCAGCTACGCCTTCTCCGTCTGGAGGATGGAAGGGGCTTGGTCCATGTCGGCGTCCCACTGAGCCCGGGGTAGGTATCGCCTCCTCCGCGCTGGCGCATCCCTGCATCCTTCGGGTTGTCTCCCTGGGGAGTGTGTGGGGGGGGAAGCTCGCAGCCCCTTCCTCGTCTCCACGTGCAAGTGATTGGCTTTAACAAAGCCCAGATGCCACCAAGGGAGGTGGCGATTCCCAACCTCGCCGGGGCTTGGAGGGCGTTGGAGGGGGCCAAGCGGTGCCTGAGCCCATTGAGAAGGGTCTGGGCTGGGGCAGGTTGGTGGAAGCTTTAAAAGCAGGTCTCATTTATTCCCCTACGTTAACGCCTGTGAATCAGCAGGCACCCTCCTGAAGGCCTTTGGGTCACAGCAGCGGCACCCCAAAGCCATCCTTCACCCAGCAGCCATTGGGTGGCCCTGGCGGCTCCAGACTTCCAGGCTATCTCCTGTCCTTGTCCTAAAGTGCTGCAGGTAGGATGGGATCCGTAATCCCTTTGGATCTGGAGGTATCCTACCCTGCAGGGAATGGAACATTGAGGGAGGGTTCTGTCTGAGGTGCCCAGCAGCATCTGAGCATCCTCTTTATGGCAAAGCTGCTGAGAGGAGAGGGGAATGATTCCATTGGCAGTGCTTTAGGTCTGCTTGGGCTGGGAGAAAGAGGGACCAGGGGAGAAGGGTCGGATGCGTGCCCATGTTTCCTGGAGCTCAAAGCTCTATAGGACATTCCCAAGATGCAGACTTCAGGAGCCCAGCCCAGCTCAGTGCTGGGCCCTAACCAGGATCAGGGCTTCTGGCTTTGCTTGGGCACTGGTTCATTAACCCCTGCCTTGTGTCACCCCAGGGCTAAGGGGCCACCGGCTTCTCTTGGGAAGCCAAATGCAAGAGGATTCCTGCTGCTTCGTGCACCCATCACTACAGAACGCCCATGAGAGGCCCTTTTCTTGCTCTTTTCTGCCAGGGCCATTGCTCCTCGAGCTGCAGTCCCAACTCCATGCAGGGACCCTCGTGCCGGATGCAGGCAGAGGCATCCCATTTATAACACAAGAGAGCCCAGCCCCTGTGCTGGGTGGATCCAAGACCCTACTTTAAGCAGGACAGGGACTGGTGCGATGCTGCAGCCCCATGGGAGCCCAGCAGCACCAGCAGCCGTGCCGAGCTCCCAGTGCCTTTAAGGTCCAAGTGGGAGAAGCCACAATGCAAAGGGGATCTGCTCAGTCGCCTATTGAAAGGGGCTGGGAAAGGGAGGAGAGTGGCTGCTGTGACACCAAATCCATCATAGAAACCCCTGCAATGCGGCCCAAGTGATGAGCAAGAAATGGGGGGATATCTGCCACCACCAGTGACCCCCAGGAGCACCAGTAGCCCTCCTACCACTGGGCTTGGCCACTGAGTTGAGGCCACCGGGTAAAGATGCTGCCCAGCTCCCAGGGGATTTGCCCTTAAGGATGTGCCACGTTTAAACTCAGATCCCCGCAAGCCTCGCTGAGATCAAGTCCAGCCAACAGGGAAACCATCACTTGTCTAAAGCCATGTGCTTAGGGCAGATCTGGCCATGTAGGAATGAAAGAGAGGCCTTGCTAGACACAGGATCACCTTCCCCTTTGGGACAGCGAGGACCAAAGCGTGTGCTTGCTCATTCCCACTTTAAGCTGCCCAGGACAGCGGGGATGCTGAGCCCCAGGAGCAGAGCGAGCCTGCATCCCCCCTTTATCCTCACATCCTTTGCGTTCGTGGCTCTTTGGGGGGTTTGGGATGCTCCGTGCATGCTCCCCATCACCTCCAGACACACGTTCCTGCTCCCCGTTGCGTTTATGGGCTCGCATTTGGCTCTGCACCCATCGTTGATGGCGAGACCTGTGTGTTTGAGCTGAGTGCTTGGCAGGAATCGTGCTCCCGTGGTAAACGAGGGGATTAAAGACCCTTCGTGATCATAAAGACCTCGATGCTAAATGAAACAGCCTCCCTGGTAAAACCCCTCCTGCCCTCTTGCTCATCATTCCTGGTTAACACTCATCCCAAGCGGCTCCGGTGCTCGCCCGGCGGCAGAGCATCCTTTAGCTGGATAGATAACAACCCGCTTCGTGCCGCAGGGCTTGGGTACCACCTGCAAACCCCGCTTGTAAAGGCAGAAAGCTTTGCTCAGCAAAGAGCAAAAGGAGGGAAGAGCCACAGGGGAAGCGATGCTGGAGCTGGAGAGTGAATTAACCCAGCGCTTGCAATGGGGCTGTAACTCCTAATGCAAAGCAGCCAACGGTGTCCTGGTCTCCACTGGGATTGAGCCTATTAAACATCAAAGGGTGCGGGAATAGCGGGATGTGGATGTGCCCTTGTTAAACAGGAGACATCGGCCGGGGAAAGCAGCACTGAGCCCTCAGGCAATGGAAAGCAGTGTTTGAAGTCATCGTGTCCCCCCCCCACCCCGAGCGCTGGGGTTGAGCGCATTCAAATGGTTCCTTTTGCTGCTGAAGAGATGAGGCTGGAAACTGGGGTCGGGGGGGGGGGGGGGGGGTGGACTGGAAGGGGCGATATTCCTTGTCCTTCATTTGTCCCCCTGGATTTATCACCCTGGTCGTGCTGCCCTCGCTTCACTGTACCCGGAGAGACCTTGGATACATCTTCCCTTCGGGGCCTGCTGCTCTTGCTCGCAGCCTTGGTTTGCCTGTGTCTGTAAGCACGTCTCGTTGCACCGCGCTGGAGCACGAGGGGATTGAAGGTGCTGGGGCAGAGCCCCCTCCCCACATCAGATCTGCCCTCACAATGCTCCTCCAGATCCCTCTGCAGGGAAGCACGGTCCCATGGGATGCGCTTCCTTCCCACCCCGCACCTTTCACAGCATCACGAAGCGGCTCCGTTCGCTCCCTACTGGTTGAACTGGTCAAGGTGGTGCCAGACCCCTGTGCTGGGGCAAACCAGGCCCCCAGGCTCCCTTAGCTGGCTCCAATGGGTGGGGAGTTGTGCTCCAGCTTTCCCTTTTGGTTTGGGTTCCCGGAAGAGATGATGTCCAAATCCCGGGAATTCTTGGTTTCCATTCGGGTCGAGGCCTCTGCTCCCATCCGCATGCTCTGGCAGGGTGCTGCTGGGATTTGCTCTGGCATTGAGCAGGTTCAGAGGCCCCATGGTGCCTCCAAAGGCTGTTGTCTCCTTCTACAATCACATGGAGGATGAGCAGGTAGAGGAGATGCTTGGTGCCTTGAAGGCTCCAACTCTGTGCCCATAGGAGCAGCCCTAGGTGAGGGATGCAGGATACGGGTAAGGATGCAGGACCAGATGGGGCTGGGGATGCTCATGCCGACCCCAGCAGCTCACACCGTGCTGGTGCTCCCATGGGACACCCCAACTGCTGTGTAAGGACACGGGGTGGCATCCCCGTGCTGTGCCAAGCTTCCCAGAGCAGGGAATCTATCCCACAGGGATCCATCCATCGCGCTCGGAGTCCCTTGGCACAGGGGCACTGCAAAGGGGCCGCCATGCATTTCACCAGCAGAAAACCCCTTTTCCCCATCAAAAACTTCCACCTTTCGGTTAAAAGAAGGGAAAACTCAGCCTGCACGGAGGGGACCGGGCTCGTCCCCATCAAACTGAGATGCAATTCCAGAGCCAGCTCCCGAGGGCATCAACCCATCCGCTGGTTTATGATCCCGGCTCGCTCCGTCTCAGCCCAGGGAATGCCTTTGGAACGAGCCCGTATTTCACTGCCGGGTGGCAGGGGAATGCATCTGGGAGCTGAGGGGGAACGAAGGAGATGCCTTCAGATGGGGTTTGCGTGTAATTGCCTTTGATGGGGGATGCACCTGAGCTGAGCTGAGCTGCGGATGCTGCTGCAGGAGGGAGGGAATGGTGGCGTTGAGGACGGTTGCAGCTCCCCAGCTCCACGGTCAGGTCCATCCATCCCCAAGACCTGCACGCTCAGAGCAGGGCTGGTTCCCTCTGGAGACAGGGCTATTCCATGAGGATTATTCAGTTTCCTATGGGGTCGGGATGCTCGTGCCGATGCTTCCCATGACCCAGAGCATCCCTTTGCCGTGCCGGTTGGACACCAGCCTTTTTGCTTGCCTGATGCCCCATTGGATGCGCACGGGGCCCACGGCAGGCCTTTGGGACCCCCATCCCAAAGGATCAGCGTTGGGCCACGTCAGGCTGTGGGGTTGCTTTGTCTCTCCTGCAGACAGGGTGGGCAGGGGTTGCATTACCTCAGTCAGTGCCCAGCACTGGAAGCTTTGATTTATTCCTCTCCAGGCTCCTCTATGGAGCATCCAAGGTCTTGGCTGCTGCACAAGGAAAAGCAGGAGGCAAAGCTTGGGGGGGGGGGGGGGGTGTGATGGGGAGGAAACCCAGAGCCACCAACAGGGCTCCTGTCCCTGCTCCGCAGCCCCTGGCTCCAGGCTGGCAGCGGCTCCATAGGGAACAGCTCATTCCGGGATAACTCCCGTTCTCCCTATGGAGCAGCTCACAGAGAAGCAGAGATTTGAGGAGCTCAGGTGCTGGGACCTTTCCCAGCGTGTCCCATGCAAATCCCTGTGGCTCAGGGGAAGTCTGCGGATGCAAAGCACGAGGGCTCAGGAGCCCAGCGCTGCCCTTCCGCACATTCCCAGGCGAGCTCCGGGTTATTCCCGCTTTCGGGAAGCCTGTGCTGGCCGTGCCGAGCCGAAGCCGGGGCTGAGCCTGCTTGTCTCCCTTTAGGTCTCACACCTCGATGGGAAGAGCAGCCCCAGCCACCCAGCAGCCCCACACGGACCACAGCATCCTGCGGCGAGCAGGAGAATGGGAGCCTCACATCCCAGCCCGCCAACCCCTTCCAAACCTCAGGGCTGGGAAAGAGGGACCCGATCCCGGAGCCAGGCTCTGGAATGAGCCGTTTGGATGCTGAGCATGAAACTCTTCAGGGGGCGAGTTATCCCTGCCTCGCAGGTAAGAACTGAGTTCTCTCCTCCTGCTTCCCAAGAAGCCGATGCTCCCGGATCAACAGGCTCCATCCTCCCCATATCCCCCTGCAGCTGCCTCCTGCCAGGACCAGGCAGGACAACTCCTCTCA